AACAGTAATACTAGTAAGTAATAAAAACTGTCTGTTTTGCATAACTTTCTGGAAATGGCTGAAAAAAAATATCACTATTTCTGGATGTGCTTAACTTACTTATGCACACAAATGCAGATGATGATTAAATTGGTTCATTACTTTTGAGTTTCTATACATTATTGCCATCACAACATGCAGACATTTAGTAATGAACATGTGCATAATTATTATTATAATTACTATATTGTATTATCTTACCTGATGGCCTGAACACTGCTGGTGAAGTTCTGCAGGGCACGTTTGATGAACACCATGTCAATGTCCCTCTTCTGCAGCAGTTGGTACATCATGTCAACATGAGGCATGATTTGATGAAANNTCCTGCAGCATCCTCAGGAAGCCAGATGCCTCCCTCACGGTGGTGCTGTCAAATGAGCTGTCTGACCTGATGGTCTCAAAGCACTCTATGAGGTCGCCCAGGTTCTCATAGACAGTACTCACGATCCTGCTGTTGAAGTTCCATCTTGTGGATGATGCTCTAGGCAGCCTTCGTGCAACAATCTGGTCGAGAAGGACCGTGCGTTTGGGTGACCGGGTAAAAAAACTGGAAATCCCACCCAAGTCAGAGAAAAAAACTCTGCTGGGATGTGCGAAGTGGCCTGCTGCATGATTAAATTCAGCTGGTGTGCATAATACAATTGTAATGTAATTTTTGTACTCTTCGCGTACCTTTTGCTGCACACCAGCCCTCTCTCCTCTCATCACACTGGCACCATCATAAGCTTGCGCAATGAGTTTACACTTGTCATCATCAGTGAAAACGCTGTTCAGTCTCTCCAAAATTGCTTCGGCAATGGAGCCGGCCGTTGTTGACAAGATGGGGACAAATTCAAAGAACCGTTCTTGCACAGCATGTTTTCCGTCCATGTATCTCAGCACAAGCACCAACTGAGTCTGTGTAGAGACGTCTGTGGTTTCATCTGCTTGGATTGCCACGAATCTAGCCAATGACAGATGCCATGCAATCCAGCAGCTCATTCTGCAGCGTCTTTGACGTGCCCTTAAAGGCTGTGGCCGTTCTCAGGTGCTCCTCAAACACCTCGTCCAGCGACGAAAAATCCCAGGGTTGCTGGACCGCATCACAAAGCTAACTCAAACACGCCACAGAATTTCACAGTCAATAAG